GGGGTCTGCAATATCCATCCAAGTTGGATGGTCATCGGGTAAATATGACATCTACATAAAAGGATTTTAAGTGTGTTCGTAAGTTTTTAAATGTATAAGTATTTTAATTATGTATAAGTGTTTTAAGGTTGACATAAAGGTTCTAAGGTACTAGATATCTGCAAACGAATCTTGAGAACATTCTTCAATCTCTAAAACTCTCAACCATTGTAGTCTGTCAAACTCCTTACTCAAGGTTGGTTGTGCACCGCCTCGACCATAAATAACATAGGCGTGCATTCCAGGTTTATTTGTGGTATGTCTTATGTACGGTACTAACCTTAGTCGAGGAGTTTGCCCTAAAGGGTTGAGTTGGTAGTTTGAGTTGAAAGGATGTTTAGAATTCTATTAAGTGTTCTCATCGCGTGTCAAAGTATATATATAACTCTTATATATTATTGTTGGTGAGGTTTGTAGTATTATTAATTTTTGTTTTGTACTCCAAGACTACCAAATACAGACGAGGGCCAAACAAAAAGCACCGTAGGACTGGATCATTTTAGCAATTAAGCCGTTCTGAAATCCAGCAACCCAAGCGGCCCTTCAAACCAGTTACCCTATACTGTAAGTAGCCAAAAAGTAGTGTAATTAATAACAATACTTTTATTAGGATCTTGTTTCTATAGTTGTATTCCTCTTTCGAGGATACGAGTTCTCTATAGCCAATTTAGCTTTGACTTATAAGTGGATAAGTTACTAGACATAATGAATTGTATAGAGTTTATAGTAGCCGAGTATATCTGGTATGTGCGTATAGTGTAAGTTACTCGCTTTTATAAATAGGTATGTCTCAAAAATAATGTTCATAAGTACATGTATACATTTTATCTATTTAAACATATATATATATATACATATATATATATATATATATATATATATATATATATATATATATATATATATATACATGCATGGTAATAGTTTGAATCCTTGAAATACTACAAAGTTTTATGACTTACTTTTTATGACAAGCATTGTCACACAAATCATAGGGTTTTGTACTAAATGGCATATGTTATTTTTATTAATTGTTTCATTTTTAAAACAAAATAACATATGTGTATCAAATGTATGGCTAGTTTATGTAGACATAATATGTATTTGTCAAAATAACATTTCATAAACTAGTTAAGTTTTGGAAGGATTTTTCACATAAAATAATAACATTTTATGTATGTTTTGCATCAATTGATATATATATATATATATATATATATATATATATATATATATATATATATATATATATATTCTCCACCAAAGTGTATAAAACATAAAAGAGGGGTTGTAACACTCACCTTAATGTGTGATTGCCGGTTTATTTCGAGATACTTGATGCGAGACACCGCAACTTGACGCTTCTAAAACGAACCATCATGACTATTTGTGTTACCTATTTAACCGAATGGAAGGTTTTGTTGGGTTTTAGTTCAAAAATAGTTTCAGAAACTTGAAAAATATGGCAACGGAAGACTTCAAATTTTGAACATAACATAACATTTTATACCCACCAAGGATCTCCTTGCAAGTTATAGAAAGATAAACTATCAACCGTAGAAAGGATGAACAAATAACAACCTTTGTTGTTCTTTGGATCCTCTTGGGAGGCTTGGAAGTTGATGAAGAATGTGGAACCTTTGAGACACCAACAATGACTTAACTTGATGTAGATGCTAGTCCAAAACTCTTAACTCTTAGGCTTTATGTTCTTATCAATATAAGAACACAAAGAGAGCAGAAGATGCAAGTGTTCTTCAAGTTTTCTAACCAAAACTAGAGAGAAAGGGAGAGGGAGGAGTGGATTCGGCAATTGCATCAAGTAGTAAAGAATGAATGCAAGCCTCTTCGTTTTATATGCATAAAGTGAAAGTATTAACCATTAGGTCTTAACACTTTAAGCACATATGTCCCCCATGTCATAAACATGTCCAAGCATGCCTTTTCCCATGCTTCATTTTTTTTGAATAAACTAATGGAAAGCCTATAACACCTTTTCTTCTCTCTAATTTTCGGAATTTGTAAATGAAAGAGAAGAGTTTGTTTAAATTTTATAAACTCAAGTTTTATAGAATATAAACTTTGTCTTTTGTGTAAAAGACAAAAGGGTTTCAACTAGTCCATAAAGTTGTACATAACTTATTAATTCATACCATATGAATTATATATAATCTTGCTTGATAATGAAAATTAATATTTCCATTAAAATAAATAATTTCCAATTTAATTATAAGAGTTTTATTGAATATTTATTAAAATCAATTTCTAATAAATAATCAATTATATCAAGTTGATGTTAGTGTGACCAACTAGTATCATATGTTAATGAGCAATATCACTTTAATATGACTGTTGAGCATACTAGACCTTTCAGGTTTCAATTATTTTACACAAACAAAGAGGGACCATTTTGAAATATTAATCATGAGAGGCATTGTTTTTGGATTAAATGGAAATCAATGTTTTGAGGTGGGACTCATTTTGTTAGGAAAATCCATGGGAGGAGCTGAAGTGTTTATTTTGATTCAAAATTTGGAGAATGCGACTAGTTTTGTAATATATTCCAGGGGGGGTTAAAGTATTTAAATGGAAATGAGGTTTGGGATGAGGCTCATCTTCCTCTTATTTACGAGATTGCATGAACGAAGCAAAAAAAAAAGATGGGTCTTCGGTCTGGGCTGTTCACGATCGAAAGAAACATGAAGAACAAAAAAATGATGGTGGTCGAGGACTTACGATGGCAGAAGCAAGCAGTGGCAGGGGTGACGGCCGAACAACAGCAGTTGGCGGCAGTGGGAGGTCCGACGGTGTCAGTACGTGGCTCCGCTGCTTCTGCTGCCTCGGTTCTCTTCTTCTGCCAGTAGTAGACATCGAAGGGGAGGGGAGGGGATGTAGTAGCAGGTCGGAGGGGTGTTTGGGAGGTGCTTGATCGGTCCAAAACAGTGGGAAGTGGGTGGTTCGGTGGTGGTTTTTTTGTGGTGTTGTGGTGGTGTTCTTAAACTAAGAAAGAGAAGTGGAGAGGGAGAGTAAAGGAGGTGATGTTGCTGTGAATTTGTGAGGAATGAAGGAAGGTTAAGCTCCCTTTTATAGCCATGCATCACCCTCACAAGTCCATGAAGCCATACCTCCTTAGATACTTACATACACAAGACATAGCATGCTTGTGCCTCCTTGATCAAGAGTGTAACTAAGAGTGGGATGGTGGAGGAAGAGATTCATGTGGCCAAGAGGAAAGGAAGTCTAAAAATCAGATTTTTATCTTCTTTCATGCACAAGTGGGCCCCAATGATGTCATGTTTAGCAAAGAGTCCCAAAAACAACCTTACTTTGGTGTATCGAGATCCCGACGTCGAATATTTTTTTCGAAAGTGGAGAATGATAGAGCTGAGTTTAAGGATTCTAAAAATCCGAACAAATTAATTTTTCGAGTTGTAGTACTCCGGGAAATCACGTTTAAAGTTTCGCGTCTAAATGACTCGAAACGACCGATTTTTCAACCTTGGCAAATATTTTCGCTAAAAATATTTCGAGTATGAAATTAAATATTATACCATAGCATGATCCAAAAATGCTCTAGGAATTTCCATCTGAAGTGTGCAAGTGCCTCAATGGATCGATTCAGTTTTAGAAGTTTAAAGAAAATCAATGTTTTACTGGTTTGTTTTCTTATAATTGTCGTAGCTTTTGCATACGAAATCCGTTTTGGATGTTCTTCATATTTTTGGAAACAGGGGAACATGTACTATGCGATTAAAATGTTTGTTTCACTCACAACTGTTTAATACGAATTTTTAGTTTTTCAGACGCATTAACTAGGGTTGCAGTTTGAGCTGTTTGATTCGTTTGCCAGTTTATACATTTGGAAATAGGATACCATCTGGCATCTTATAATAGTTGAAATGACGTTATTTATTTTACAAAAGATGCACTAAAACTCAATAAGTCATATTACAAAGAGATTCACTGTGAATTGACTATCTACAGTTTTAGACCTAAATTATGGGATGTCATAAAAGATCTCCGAAAACAGAGTTGAAACAAAGAATTTATGATTGTTTGAATAAAACCCACCTCCATGAGGTGGAAAATAATATTGTTACAAGGTGGCAACTGGGGCAGCCCAAGCCCACGGATTTTAGGGTTTTTAAGGTATTTATAGGCAAGGATTCATGTTTAAGGGTCTTTTCTTAGCCTCCATCACATCTACCACTCCTTGGGAGAAACCCTAGCCTCCATATTCAAGATTTGAAATCCACCTCTCTCATCTCTCCTATTTTGGATGCTTTTGCTTATGTTTTAATGAAACTTGGAGATCAAGAAGGTTCTTTTGGGTGTGATCATACCAACACTAATACACCGGATCCCATCAGAACTCTACGGTTAAGCGTGCTTGAACGAGAGTAGTACTAGGATGGGTGACCCCCTGAGAAGTGTTTGTGTCAGAGCCCAAAGTGGACAATATTATGATACATGTTGGATGGCGTTGTTACAAATGATATCAGAGCTAGGGCACGATTCGATGTGTTCGACGGGGACGTCGAACTCTATAATGGTGGAGGTGAAGGTGGGTTTCACCTTATCCCACATCGGCTGGGAAGGAGAACTAAGCATTCTTTAAAATGGATGTGGATACCTTTCCCGTCACAACATATTTTAAAGCCATGGGGTTAGCAGATCCCATAAGAACTCTACAGTTAAAAGTACCTGGGCGAGAGCAATTCAGGAATGGGTGACCCCCTGGGAAGTTTCGTGTCGGGTGCCCTAAGCGAACAATATTGTCATACGTGTGATATGGGGGGGTTACATATGGGTTCGAACACGTAGGAGCCTACACGGTTCTAGTGGTGGATGCTATTTGTTGGGAGGCAGATGTATTGATAGGGGCAGGTCTATGGGTTAAGACGATGGTTGAAAAGGTAGACAGGTCATTGGTTTGATTTGCGGCTTATATGTTTAGCCGCATGGTTAGGGTCCACTACAAAGGAAAACTTTCTCTCGTAGTGCGATATTCGAAGTTTCTTAATGGTGGTCTTGTCGAAGGAAACTCAAGGGGTCAACCGATAGGTTTTTTGGTTTATCGGATAATGGATCGCATGGGACGCCATTATCGATCCGGATACGGTTTTGGAGCATTATCCAAAGCACGAGTACAGAAGGTTGTGCGGGTTCCGATAGACGTGCATGAGTGGCTAAAGGTTGGGTAGATATCAAGGTCAAATTGGGACAACTTCAAGGTGTTTCTTTTAGGTAACTCGAGAAGTTTGGTTGGATATGGGTCGGTTTTCCAAAGTTGTTTCGAGTTTGGTATAAAAGTTTGATTTTCAGTGTTGAATACTTAGTTTGAATGCCAAGGTGGAGATTATAGTAAAATGTGGCATTAAAACTATGTTTAGGCTCTAATATGTCAATAAGGCTATAGTGTAAGGGCCATTAGTGTCAATGGGTTAAAGGGTCATACTTTTGTGTACATTTTAAGAGACGAGCGTTTATTTCTTAGTTTTAGAAAGTTTCATTGTTGGTGTTCTCTCTGTATCTCCTTTGTAATTGCATATATTTCAAGATAAACATCATCTGGTGATTCTTTGTTCATTCTTCTTCTAATTTCTTCTTAATTATCATTTAATGCTTCCGCAATTTGGCACGGCAAAGATAATAATGAACGAGAAAGAAAAAAGAGCTTTTTAGAGGGTATTTTTGTCAAAAGCTTCTTGTCCCACATTGTTCCATTCTTTTGGATGAGACTTAATTTTTTAAAGATAGTCTCATTTGACTTGGTTAATAACTTCTTTTGTTTTTGTTCCTTCCTTACCAAGCAGTTTTTGAAAAACCATACTCCTTTTTGTCAAGTTTTGTTCCATCCACCAAACGTACCTTGATTCTATGTAACTCTTGTTCTTCGGTTTCCACTTTCAAGCAACCATGTAGCAACTTACACCCATTTATGCGTTTTAGTTGGTTGGAGTGTCTCCCCTAGCGGCGCCCCAATGAGAAGGAACAAGAAAGATATATAGACGAGAGGGGATCAAGGTGTTCTTGAGATTCTATCAAAGAGGGAAGGAAAGGAGGAGATAAACATGAGGTTAATTGTTTCTGGTGGGTTGTCTTCTCCGATGAAAAGCAGTACCAACCAACAATCTTAGGTAGCCATTGGAGAGATCAAGATCGAGGAATAAGGTGGGTCTAAGACCCATTTGGGTTTCGGTATTTCCTTGCCAAAGGAGACTACGATAATGATTTTCTTTTGACGATGGAGATGAACCAATAAGTTAGTTGTGTTTTTTAAATATTGTGTTTGATAATATTCCTATTATGACATTGGATGGATTTCATATTTGTATACAGTGTGCTCGATATCTTGAGAAATATAAATGGAAGTTGTGCATGCATTCAGAAGCAATAGTGTTGAGACTTAGGTGAGTTAATATATTTTTCTTAAAGTTGGTGACATTAAAATAATAAATGAGTGGTGGTTATGTTCGTAGACAAAGGGTAAGTAATAATTTTTGCATATCCATCCATTTTAGATTAGATTACCCTCGATTTGATTTTTAACTTATTCTTAATTTATACTTTATAGATCAAGATTGAGGTGCCATATACGATTCTTACACAATTGAAACTCAATTTGACTGGAAAAAATTCACCTTTTTTTTTTTTTTGCATGCAACGCTTATAGATAGTGGTATGTAGCAATTACATGAACATTCAAGATGAGGTAAAGGCGTAAAGCAAGTGGTTATCCATGAACTAATTGTGCTCATCATGCCTGTAGTGAGGTCTCAACCTTCTTATCTTATCTTCTTTCATAAAAAATCTTATTCCTTTTTTGCCCCTACCCTGGTTTCTATCTTATAAACAACAGATCTGAGCTGGGCATCTTAGTGGTGATTGCCAGTATAAAAGGGAACTCTTGCGAGGTTTTGTCAAAATAAGAGGCCATGAACAAGTAAGTTTATTATTTTACTTTCAGTTTTCAAAAAATTACCCTGTTTGTTTTTGTTTTTATTTAATTTGATATGATATATAAAGGAGTGTGTGATAAGAAGGGTAATTAAGTCATTAGCCAACTACCCTTGCTGTTCAGAAACAGCTGCAATGGAAGCTGTGTGGGAGACGTGTTATAATGATACAAAACCATTTGACAGAGCTCCTTGATCTTGACAAATTTAAATATAATTTCTGGCCGTATTTATTAAAAGTATGATTTTTTTATGAGTTAGCCTTGTCAACGATATATGATTGTTTTTTTTACTTATTTGTCATTCTTCATATTTTTTTTCTTATCAACTTTGCCAACATTGATATATATCGTGAAATTTGTTTTTGGTCATTTAGTCTTATATTATCATTGAAAATGGGGTTATCTTTGTTTACTGTCTTACACATGTCAAAATATTGCTGTTATGGATCATTTGTCACGTCATAAAATGATTTTATAGGTAAATGTGTCAAAATTATCAATTTTTGTGTTTGTCTAATATATACAGGTTAAATAAAAAATTATCACAATTTTGCAACAAACTTGCTACCAAAAGTGATTATTACAACTTAAAGTAGTAAAACATGTCCTCTTACCATCTCTAGGGTGCATGCATGCTATATAAACTCTTATATTTTTATGAAAAAAAAAAAAAATCATTGTAGATATGTAAGTTTTCAAGAGAAACTATTTTAACCATTCAATATTAGGATAAACTAGGGTTTGTACTCCTACAAATTGCAGCGGAGAGTCCATGTTCATTTGAAAAAATAGTCCACAATGCATGAAGACGAATATGAAAAAAAAAATAAAAATCATGTTATATCAAAAACTTAACCTAAACTCTAAAAATAATTTTTTTGAGATTTAGATTCGGATCTTCGTATTAAATTCATAAAAATAGTTAAAAGTTGGGCTAAAAGCATAAAACAGTAAAAAAAAAGTATCATATAATCAAAGAGTTTTATTCAGAAAAACCTTATTAATTTTGACAATTTTTTTATAGTCTTTTTGTTAATAGAAAGTCATGATTATTTAATATTTTCTCAAATTAACAAAAAAGTTTTTATTTTTATTTTAATAGAAATGATAGATTATCATGTAAAATCAAAATAATCGAGACTTCTTTATTCAAAAAAATTAAGACTTTTTCAAAAAACTTCCAAAATTATAAAACTTTTCTACATAAAATCCTATAATCAAATTTATAAATAAATTTAAAAGTTAAGGCGTAGCTATAAAAAAAATGAGTAAATTACACGAATGGTTCCTATGATTTGGGATAATTTGCACGCTTGGTCCCTAACTTATTTTTTTAACTCGGAAGGTCCCTACTATTTGTTTTTGTTACACGTTTGGTCCTTACTGTTTGTTTTTATTACACGTTTGGTCTCTGTCTTACCTAAAAAGACTATTATTCAAATACGGAAAAATGGTAGGGTAGGTAAGGTAATGTGAGAGGGGTGGGGTTGAGGGTGTGTTTATTTAAATAAATTAAAAAATCAATGGCAAAATAGTCTTTTTAGGTAAGATAGGGACCAAGCGTGTATCAAAAACAAACAGTAGAGACCTTTCGAGTTAAAAAAAATAAGTTAGGGACCAAACGCACAAATTACCCTAAACCATAGGGACCATTCATGTAATTTATTTTAAAAAAAATTGGAAGACTTGTTTGTTTAACCAAGACAAAATTACAAAAATGGTCCCTATGGTTTGCCAAAAGTCACAAAGTCAGTCCCTGCTAATTTTTTTATGCAAATGGTCCTTGTGGTTTGCAAAACTTGCAAAGTTGACCCTTTTTACTAACACCGTTAGTAAAACGCCGTTAGGGACTGAATCTGTAAGGTATTTTCGTCTTTTCAAGTATAAAAGGACTGAATTCGTGACATTTGATAAACCATAAGGATCATTTTTGAAATTTCTTTGAAAAATACAATTAAATTGCTAGGGGGAGGGATCGAATTCGTGACCTCCACCCTTCTATTTTGCCCAACGACTTAACCACTTGAGCTAAAGGCTCATTTAGTTCTTACCTTCTAAAACTCGTTATATAAAAAAATAAGTAAATTACAAATAACATTTTAAATAAAACAAAACGTTTTTTTTTCTAAAATTCATATATACAATAATAAAATCGATAAAACATACACAATAAATAAAACATATTTTTATGTATTTACTTTACGTAAAATATGTTGTTTTATGTATTTCTAAAAATCGTTTTTCGGTTATATATATTTAAAAACACTTATAAAACCTATTCGGTTATATGTCTTATTTAAAGTACATATTTCAACTTAACCGCTAGTTCTAAATCGTATGGTTAAAATGACGATGAAAAAAAATAAAGATATATTTTTTTTAAATAACAATAATTAACACTACTTGTGACATAAAAAAAATATTAATTGTTTAAGGGAAATCTGCGAAAAAGTCCCAAAGTTTTGCCCCAGTTTATGATTTAGTCCCAAATTAAATTTCATTAATGAAAAAGGACGGGTTACCGGCTATTACACTCACTTTAGTCCTTTGAACCGGTAAACCTTTGATTAGCCGGTTACCCAAGCTTTAAAATCTCTCTTATGTGTTTCTCCTTCTCCCCCCTCTCTTTCTCTCGTTTTATTTGCAGGTGGGTAACCAAAATTGTGAAGATGAACAAGAATATACCTCTATTTCTCTCGTTTGTTCATCAAGGCCATATGGAGTTCCTCTCATTTGATTTGTAGGTGGGTAACATGTGAGATGGTGGTGTTCTACGGGAGGAGATATAGAGATAGTGGTGTTGTACAAGCTTCTCAACACTGATCTACTCAAATGTGTTAATTGGGTGATTGAAATCAACCCATATATACACTAGATCCTCTTCGTCTTCAAAACAATCCATCATCTTCCTAATGTCTAATTTCCTTTTTTTTCTGATTCTGATTCATAATTAGGATTTTAGGTTACCCTCCATTAACCTTCCCTGTCACCCATTCCTCTATAAAACCCGTCCATGGTGTTCTACAAGCTTCTCAACACTGATTTGGTCGAACTTTTTCCCTGGTCAATGGTCCATAAAACGGGGCGGAATTGGAATTCGGAGTTAGTGATGGCGGTGGAGTGGGAGGTGGAAAGGGTTGAAGCAATGGGATTCCAATGTTTCTTTGTACATTGAGGGGTGGTTTAAGGGCAAAAACGGGGACAGAAGAAGAAGGTTGTTTCATCAATGGTGAAGGTGAAGGTGAAGTCAAATGGAATTGGGATGGGGGAAGGGTTGTCACGATCTGTTGACTGGGAGTTAGTCAAACCTGGTTCCAATGGTCCTTCAGTTACAACAGATGTAGGTACAACTTCGAGTTCACTAACAAACCTCATCATTTTCTCAGAAGCACCTCTAATAGAAGAAACTTATTGAGGGGGATAAAGAACATCTTTTACAAAACTTCAGTTTATGGGTTCTTGAATAGACCCATGATTGACCTAATAATTTCTTTGATTGTTGAACATCTTTTATAGAAACTGCAATTTGAGTCATGGGTCGACCTATGACTGTAATGTTGTTCCATGAATAGACCCATGATACCTAATAATTTCTTTGCTCTATTGTTGTTTTCTGCATATTTAACATATATATTATCAATAGAGATAGAGATAAGAAATGTATTGAATATATGTGTTTGTAGAAGAATGAATGGGAGATTACCACAGGAAGCAACAAATTCTTGCTTCGATCTTACTTCCATGTGAAAAGGTAACCTGAGGGAAGAGGTAACCTGCTGAAAAGGTAAAAAGGGTTAAAGTGATTATATTACCCGGTTTCCTGTCCTTTTTTGTTAATGAAATTTAATTTAGGACTAGATCATTAACTGGCCCAAAACTTTGGGACTTTTTCGCAGATTTCTCATTGTTTAAATACATATAACAAAATTGTTGTTAAGTATTTTTTAACCGAAAAATGGTTTTTAGAAAACCGATTGGGCCAAAAAAAACCAATTCGGCCGATTTTGCCTTTCATTACAACGTAATAACATTTTATACGAAAACGTATTTTTTATAGACATAAAAAAAAACATTTTATGTAAAATAAATACATAAAAATAAATATGTAAAAAAATGTTTTATTAAAAAAATTTATGTAAAATAAATACACAAAAATAAATACTTTTTCTAAACGTTTTTTTTATAATACGCAAAAATATATTTTGTTTTATTAAAAAACAATTATGTAAAAAAATGTTTTTTTTAATTTATTTATTGTTTATATTTTATCGATTTATTATTATATAAATGAGTTTTAGAAGGTAAAAAGCAAGTGAGCCTTTAGCTCAAGTGATTAAGTTGTTGGGCAAAATAGAAGGGTGGAGGTCATGAGTTCGATCCCTCCCCCTAGCAATTTAATTATCTTTTTCAAAGAAATTCAAAAAATGGTCCATGTGGTTTATCAAATCTCACGAATTCAGTCCTTTATACTTGAAAAGACGAAAATACCCTTACAAATTCAGTCCCTAACGGCATTTTACTAACGGTGTTAGTAAAAAGGGTCAACTTTGCAAGTTTTGCAAACCACAAGGACCATTTGCATCAAAAAAAATTAGCAGGGGCTGACTTTGTGACTTTTGGCAAACCACATGGACCATTTTTGTAATTTTGTCTTTAACCGATGTAAAAAAAATCCACTTACATAAATAAAAAGGAAAGGGAAAGAATGGAACCCCAAAAGTACGATCAATGAATATGAAACCGCCTTACCATTAAATAGGAAGTGATACCAAATGGTCTTTGGCCTAGCGGTAAAGAGTGATTCTCTTAAATGGGAGGTCATGGGTTCAAGTCTCATTATGAAACATAGGTGGTGTTTAGGATTAACTTAGGAGTATGATAGTTTGTTTTTCAAAAAAATAAATAAATGGGAAGTGATATTTCCACTGCCAATTTTGATTCATCCATGAATTTTAACGAGAATAGATGAATGTGTCCTTTATTATTATTTAAGTGTAATTATGGTAGATGTTAGTATTTAGAGAAATTATATATCCTTCTACATTTTATTCCTACTTATATTCTACCATATCAAATGTTGACATGTGTCACATTTAATGAAATTGATAATATTTTAGTCCACTTGTCACCATTTAATGTGGGTAGGAAGATAGTAGGAATAAAATGTAGGAGGATATTTAATTTCTCAGTATTTAATATCATGTTTAATCCTTTTGTAATGAGTAAATAAAATAGTAAATTGACCCACTCTCTTAATCTTTGCTACTCTCCCCCCTCACACGATACCTTCTCCCTCATCTTTCATACGCCCAAGTCAGAGACCTTAAACCCACACCCAAACCCTCGCCGGAAACCGCTCCCTTTGTCGCCGCCTGCAAAATCGAAAACCGCCTTTCGAAATACGATTTGTTGGTCCATGGGGTTTAAAAGGTTTCAAGATTCGATTTGCAAAAGACTTCCGATCTAGTGCTTTCTATCGGCCGAGTAAGGCTTCTAATCTAGTGCTTTCTTTCAGCCGGGTTGGGAGGGTTTCTTGAATCCTACGAAGGGGCGGTGGTGGGAGGGCCTTTTGGAGAGAGCTTCATCCCCGAATGGAATCAACCGGAGATGGATGTTTCTGTAGAAGTTCCGATTATACTTGTATTTTTTTATAGGGAAAAAAGGAAGGTTTTTTGAGGGCCACAAAAGACGAGGGAGGCAAGGAGTAAGAAGATGCACCAGACAAGGAGATGAGGGTTGCAGACCTCCGATATGGGTGAAGATGAAATGTGAAGGAAAGGGTACCAAATGGTGTGTGTGTGTGGGGGGGGGGGGGGGGCAGATCTGATGGGATAAAGGGGATAACTAATTGAATATTTTATTTATTACAAAAGAATTAAAATAGATATAGTCTATCAATATAAGGGGTGCTTGAGATTAGTTTTGAACATTAAAAGTCGTTTTTAATAATGACTTTTTGTAAAATAAGTTATTTAAAATGTATTTGGATTAATAAAAAAGTTAGCAAAATAACTTTTCGTTTAATTTTTACATGTAAAACAGCAAAAAGTCAGGTTTTTTGTAACTTTTAGAAACTCTTTTTTAAAAAGTCATTTTCAAAAAAACTTTTCTATTATCCAAACATTTTTTTTTTGGAAAAATTAAAAATAAAAAATCATTCTATAAGGAATCCTAACACTCCAATAGACCATAATTACGCTCTTAAGTACAAAGAAAGGTATCATTGCCAATTTGTTTCTAAAATCCGTGAATGAATAGAAAAGAACCGTTGAATTATCACCACCATCTACTATAATAAATGAATGTTTTTTTTGCCACTTGTCACACTTTCATGAGTTTTGCCACATGTCAATTTATGGTTTTTTTCAATTTTTAAAATAAAAAAGTCATATAATACTTATACTTGTATATGTAAAATATCAAATGTAATAAATATTATACTAAATTGCAATTAATATGTTTCTTTATTCCTTATTTCAAAATTTTATTTTAAAAAATATTTATTATTTATATTTTAATATTTTATTTTTTTATAATCAACCGTGTAATACACGGGTTTTTACACCTAGTTCAAAATAGGTGAAATATAAATATAAAGTAAATGAAGGTTATATAATGATAGAAACACTTGTATATTTTTTGGATTTATTTTTATTGAAAAGCCCGTAAAAAGATATAAAATATAAGCGTTGTTTTGTTTTTATCCTGATATTAAATGGTTAAAATTCATCGAAGATTGTACAATGGCTCACCATCCCCATATCACACTCTTCCAAAACATAAAGAAGGTGTATTTAACTTTTATTAGTTTTTTATAAATTTTTTTATAATTTTTGTTTGTAATAATTTTATGAAATATATTATTATGTATTTATATTTTCTTTAAGTTATACAAAATTTAAAAAGTCCACCTCCGACCATATTTTTTTTCTTTCTCTTTAAGCAATTTTAATTTTGTCTTATTGATGTTAGAAAGTCAAAAGGTCAAAAGGTTAAAATCCAATTTTAGATAGTCTTAAAGATATTTGTTGTGTTGAATTGAACGGAGGGTCCATTTTTGTAAACTGTTAAAAGTATGGGGGCTTAAAGAGAACATTTCACCCTCGTGAACGTGAAGGCAAGCTTTTTGAAATGGGGACACCCATGAATCATTTGAACATGAAAACCAGTGAAGGATAGAATGAACCATGGCCCGATAGATTCTTTCCGATCAATCAAAGAACAAACCCCAATCAACCTACTATCGAATGAGGATTCCGTTCACTGATCAAATCCAGCTACAGAAACTCTGTTGATTGTATGTCTCAGTAGCACCCAGTCCATCAAGCTTGATCGATTTTGTTTTCATTAGAACAACATGAACTCTTCGTCATCGAACTCAAATAATGGATTCTCGAGTTTCAACGAAGCAAATCCCATTTTGGGGTTTAGTTCGCCACCGTTGACGGCCTCCAGGAAGCCCGGTGCTGCTACTAGTTCAGCTTCGACACGGTTTCTGAAGGTGAGAAATCAAGCATCTTCTCATAATCATAAGTCTACTAATCCTCTAGGGTTTAACCAATTTACGAGCTCATCTGAAGCGGTTTTAGGAAATTTGAGTTTCGAAAATGATCCCAAGGAGACGTTCCTATTTGGTGCAAACAATTCCAATTCCAGTTCACATTGGAATCCGGAAAGGAGAGTTTCTAGCGAGATTTCCAATGTTATTCTCGATGATATGTTGAAAATGAAGATCGGTTCCGATAAAGGTTATGCAAATCCAACTCAGAACAAAGCTGATGTCGACAAATCTTTGGTCGATGAACTTCCAAACGAGGTTAGCAAGTTGAAGATACACGATTCCACAAACGAAAGCCAGTTCATCAATTTTGTTAATTCTGAAAAAATGGGTGAGTTTGCTTTTACAAGCAAATTGGATGATATAGGGGCTCCACAGGTAGAGTTCAGAACACCAGACATGAAAAGTAACTTGTTTTCTGGGATGAATAGATTCGAAGCAAAGAAGGATTCTGTTAAAGACACAAGGTCAAAGAAAAAGAAAGACAAGTCAAAAAACTCCATTGTTGGTCATTCAAGGCTTCAAGACGATTATGGGTTTACCAGAAGAAATCCATCTGAAAATCCAGATGCTTTTGAATTTGAAGCATACTTACCACTAAATATTCCTCCATATGATGAAAAACTAGCTGATTTATCTAGATTATCAGGTATAAAGGGGCAAGAAGTTGATTTGTCTAACTTCTTAAGCAAAAAAGGGGTCGACTTAAAACCAGTAAATGAACAAGCTTTTACTTCATCATCCAGCAAAATAGCAGAGGACACATGTGAGAAATGGCGATTGAGGTGTGAGATTCTACACATTTTCATTTTTATTAATCAATTAACAATGTCATGATGTTTCAAAGAACTAAGACGATGATTTGAATCAGGGGAAACCAAGCTTACAACAATGGCGAACTGGTTAAAGCAGAGGATTGTTATACACAGGGGTTAAATTCAGTATCTGAAAATGAAAAATCTAGAAGCTGTCTTAAGGCTTTGATGTTATGCTATAGCAATCGTTCAGCAACTAGGGTTTCTCTTGGAAAGATGAAAGAAGCTTTACAAGATTGTTTAATGGCTTCCACCATAGATCCTAACTTTCTCAAGGTCCAACTTCGAGCTGCACAGTAAGCCTTACTAACCTTATCTATTAATCTTATAAAATTTCATTATATAATAATGTAATATCTATAATCTGTATACAGTTGTTACCTTGCTATTGGAGAAACTGAAAATGCAAAACAGCAATATACAAAGTGCATGCAACCTGGAAATGACAAGAAAGTAATAGCAGAGGCCTCTGAAGGTCTAGAAAAGGCACAGGTAATATGAATTATGAAGTATGAACTATGAAGTGTGAGTCAAATTACTAAAACACCCTTGAGCTGTGTATGTTTTAAGTTTTTAACATCTTCTGTTTTTACTTAATCAGAAAGTGTCTGAATGTATTAAGCAATGTAACGATCTTTCCCAAAGACAAGATTCTCACGACTTAGAATCTGCATTGAGAGTCATGAATGAAGCTCTACAGATAAGCACTTGTTCAGATAAATTGCTCCAGATGAAAGCAGACACCCTATTCATGGTTTGTATTAAAAATTTAAAATTCTAAAATCACTAAACCTAATGGTCAATTCGGTCAAAGTTATGAAATAGTCTTTTGTCTTATTTTGCAGTTGCAGAGGTACGAAGAGGTGATTCAGATGTGTGAACAGATCACTTCTGATGAAGCATCAAACTTGATTGTTAAATCATATTTCTATTTAGGAAAGCTAGATGATGCTCTAGAATTTATCAAAAAACAAGAGAATTCAAGCTGTATAATACCTTTATCTGATACAATACGTGAGCTTCTATCTTACAAGGTACGTTTAGTAAAAAAGAATATACAAAGACTTTTTAAGTTTTGTAAGTTTTGAATTTTGAATCATAATTTATATGCAGAAAGCTGGAAATGAAGCGTATAAATCAGGAAAACACACAGAAGCAATCGAACATTACACTGCTGCTTTATCACACAGTGTTGAATCACGTTCATTTGCATCAGTTTGCTTTTGCAATAGGTCTGCAGCATACAGAGGTTTAGGTCAAATCACTGATGCTATAGCGGATTGTAGCCTAGCTATAGCCCTTGATCCAAATTATCTCAAGGTTTGATATATATAAAATTTTAAAAATATATTTGGAAAAAGACGATTATAACCCTGGTGATGTAAAACAGGCAATATCTAGACGAGCTAGCTTGCATGAGATGATTAGAGACTATGGACAGGTGGCAATAGATCTAGAAAGACTTGTGTCACTTTTAACTACACGTGTGGATGAAAAGGGTGTTATTAATGAGATAAAACAAACTCGGATTTGGCTTTCTAATGTTGAAGAAGAATCTAGAAAGGGAATCCCGTTAAACATGTACCTCATATTGTAAGTTCTTCTCAATGTAAATTTTACAAAAAAGTTTTGTGAAGTGATATGATATATGATTATTTTTCAACTTTGTAGGGGAACTGAATCAAATGCTAATGCATCGGATATTAAAAAGGCGTATAGAAAAGCTGCACTTAGACATCATCCTGATAAGGTTTGTGTGAAAAATTGAAACATTTTAGTAAAAGTATTTGAACAGGATTGTGAAATTAGGGTTTATGATCATGTAGGCTGCACAATCAGTGGTTAGAAGTGATGATGGAGATGATGGGCTATGGAAGAAGATAGCTGAAAATGTACATAAAGATGTTGATAGGCTTTTTAAAATGATTGGAGAAGCATATGCTGTGCTTTCTAACCCCCTCAAGGTAATAATAATAATAATAATAATAATAATTCAACTTCATACTTTTGATTTTTTAGTAAATAGTAAGAGTTTATTTATGATTTCATTAGAGGTCACAATATGATCAAGATGAAGAAATGAGAAATGAAGGACGTAGCTTTAGTAGAAGCAAGTCATCAAGAATGGGTACAGATGTCCAAAATGCTGTATTTACGCGAACTGGGTCCCACCACTAATGCATATTTGTGTGTGAGTTTTTTTTTTTTTTTTAATGTTTGAGTAATATGTATTTAATGTATTAAAAAAATATTGTACAATTATAACTCATACAAGTTTTGGTTTGTGTAGTCTGAATTATTATTATTACACATATATTCCAAGTCCGACCTCCTTAGGATTTGTTTCCAACATCCATGGAGCCCTGTAGACACAAACAACAAAAAAAAAAAAAAAAAAAAATTTATATAAAACTGAACAAATACTATATCTATAGGGAAAAAAAAAAAAGAATAATACTTGTGCATAACGAAATTAATTGTTCCTTGTGAAGCACGTTGAAGCAGAAGTTCACGAGCTTCAATGGCAATTCCTTGAGGCTATTGAAAATATGGAAAAACAATAAATGCATTAAGATTTAAGGCATTTTACTTTGATGAATTATTTTAATTATAAATAATTATTTAAAAAAAACACCTCTTCTGGAAACCATACACCAGGTTGTGTGCTACCTTCAAGAACAGCAAGAGCAAATGCAGCTATGGAAGTTCCAACTGATCTGCATACACCATTCATTCTCAAAGAAATTGATACACACAAAAAAAAAAAAAAGATAAATAAATAAATAAATTTAAAGGATATAAGAATTACACAGATAATTTTTTATGACTGAAAACACCAATAGTATGCTTTCCATCAGAACACTCCAAATCAACCTGTTCATCAAGTTACAATAATTAAAATTTAGGTTACGAAAAAAAAAATTAAAAGATTTGAGAATAAGTTATAATACTCGTAGTGAGACACGCTCTCCAGCATATCCATCTATAACGCGAACCACTGGATCAAATAACTTAACCATTTCTTCTACTTTGCTTCTGTCTCTTAAAAGTTCCTAAAAACATTACAACAAAATACATAATTTTTTTTTTGTTGTGAATTTATTAGAAAAATAAAATAGATTGCAATCTTACAGAAGGAACAAATCGTGTCATTGCATCCATAGCCCAATTCCAGAAAAATGGAGAAGTTCCAAATCGAGCACTCACACTTGGAATTCCTAGGGTTTCATGGGTACTTGTCACCTCTGGTAAATTCCTAAAAAAAAAAAATCACAAAAAATGACACGTCATGCCTTCCATTGATGAAGCTTGAAGCATTAAATAAAACTTACAAGAGATACACATCTTGCTTCCCAATTCCTTTTCCAAAGTCGATGCTCATCATTCCACTATATGGTCTTAATTTGAGTTTTTCTCCTATATGATTTAATTTGAGTTGTTCATACAAAATGTATAATATTAGAATGTTTTAACTTTTAAACAGACCTTTATTGAATGCAATAACCTCCTCTCCAAGAAGTAAAAAACTAGTGGCTAATATTGTGGGCCCAGCTCCACCTGTTCCTGCTGTATAGTAGTAGAATCTAAAAGAAAAAAAAAAAAGTTATATAATATTTGGAAGTGAGTAAAATAACTTAATTATCGATTATCAATAAATAATGAAATACCTTAGGCGTTCAGGCTCACCCTTATTTTCGCTTTTTGCAACACGAACTAGTTCAGCTGCCATCACTGTCAAAATTACGAAAATACCCCTCATCACCAAATTCAAGTTTTATGAAAAACAAATTAAGATCTTATTTAATTATTCAATCAAATGGTGTGTAAAATTACAATTGCTGACTCCTGGATAGATTCCACCAGTGGTTATTGCTGGAACTTTTGCAGCTATTGCTTCATTATTATAAGCTTTTGCACGCAAGGCATAATACGTATCATCACACACATCAAGATAAGCTGTCTGAAAACAGATCAAGATTATTACAAAATGGTATGATAGATTTCTAAAAGAAATCAAGAAATCTTGTAATTAGCTTTTACCTTGATCTCACCTTGGCCCGAATTGCAGCTTCCAGGACTCTGCAATCTTCTGTCTGTTGAAATGGGCCTGCAGCATGCACCACAAGATCCACATCTACAAAGGTAGAATATGCATCAAGAAATTAGATCCCGTAGGAGAAAAAAAATGTAATTTTTCATATGTTTTTGAACAACACACACACACACACCATTTAAAGCTGATTCCAGTGATTTATCATCATTTATATCAAATTCAGCAAATTCAGCGTTCTTTCCGAGTGTTGTCACCATACTAGCACCTTTTTCCCTATCATGAAACAAACACATGAGTATTAAGCCTATAGGGTTTGGAAGTAAAATAGGTTAAAACATCATGTGTCCTTTATGTTAATGGTTCTTGAAGTAAATGAAAGTGATGCTTCTGAATTACCAAGTATACAATTTGATAAATGCACCCTGGTTTAGCTATGGCTACTTTTACTACTAAGCTATGATTTTAAGGGGTAGATATGAAGATACACAGTACACAGCTAACTGATTCGATTGGATTTCTTTCTTCAATCGATTCTACCACAAACAACGAGAAGAAATTGTGTGATTCTACTTGCAGTTGAAATTGCTATGAACGTGCTTTGTTTAGGGGAGTTAAATTGAAAAAAGGAATTAATAAATTATTGGGGATTGTTAATTGGAAATGGAAGCAAAACCTGTTACGACCAGCAATGGTGATGCGGAGGTCGGGGGAGAGCTTAGAGAGAGCGATGGCGGTAGAGCCACCGACTCTACCGGTTCCTCCTAGTATCAGAACCCTTGAATTGGCGGTTTCCTTTGGAGGTCCGGCGGAAGCCACCGTCGGAGTCCTGATGGCGCTCAAGTGGCGCATACAGGCACACGCCATATCTCTCTTCCTCTATGTGTCTGCGCCGAGTCCTATCCAGAGTTCGTTACAGTCTCTCTAGTTAATAATAACGGGCATGGAATTAAATAGTATAACATTATAATTATAGTATTTAACTATTTATTATTGTAAATTAAATTACTTTTATTTTAATTTTATTTCCCTAATTTTTAATGCCTATTATGTAAGAGGTAAAAGTTCTGTTGATGGGAAGAAATGGATTTCGGTTCAATTTCAAAACAATGGAATTTTACTTAACATTACAAAATTGTATGTTTATAATAAAAGGTTTAATTATAGGATTCTTATAATCAATGATTTACTTTATATTTTTAAATAGTTGACTATTTATTTAATTATAAACTTATCATCATCCTCTCTTATAAATGAAGGTTTTTTTTGTCAATTGTGAAATTCTCAAGAGTTTTGTCACATGTAATTTTATTTTTCACTTGTTATTTTTTGAGAATTTCTATTTTTTTTTAAATAAAATACCATAAAATTCTAACGAGTTTTAATCATTCTATTAATTTGATAATAAAATCTCATAAATGCTCTAAAGAATATTTGATTTCTTTTATAAATGTTTCAAAAGATTACATTATGTTATATAAAAGTATTATTTTATAAAATATTTAATGTTTAAATATTAATATTAAATTTTTATTTTTAATAAACTCGTATAGTATACGAGTCTCACACCTACTATATTATTATATATCATATCGATTATGGAGATAAATTTTTGAAAATAAAAATTAGGAAATATATTTTAAGATTGGTGAGTATTAACATGATTTTATAACATTTAAAAAAAATGTCATATCATATGTAATATCATCCTCCATATTATAACACCATTGGAAGAAGTTGTCACCATCTTATAACATTAAATAATTTTCATATCATCATTTTTTTGAGTTTTTTTTTTAAATATAATTTTATAAAACATACTATTTATTTATTTAGAGGTTTGGCGGAGGGAGTTTGGGTTTTGCAATATTGTTTTAGTTGAAGAGGTATTGAATTGTATAAAATATAGAAAAAAAAAGAATGATGTGAAGAAATAGAGTAAAATGGTATGTATTTATAGGTAAAAAAAATATTTATTTATTATTATTTTTTCTAAAAAAAGATGGTTGTTGGCAACGGTCATGTTACCGTTTTGTGCATTTTTTTACCGTTTCAAGATGTTATAACGCCAACGGCTTATACCATGACAACTTTTGGGGGCGGTATTTGGTGGAGCTTAATGTCGTTGTGGAGGTGCCATGTCAGCTCCTCCACGACGCTATTACCCGATCGTCTAGACAACCAACAAAATTTTATATATCAACTAGCAAGTTTAGACAAAAAAGAAGAGAAACAAAATTCTTTAATATACAATAAGGGCTCTTAAAGACTAACTAATCAATATATCTTAAATTTACAACATTGATAAGAAATCTAAAAAAGATGAATTCGTCATTAATGAATTGAACATGGATTTTTTTTTCTCGTTTTTGTATCTCTAAAGATAATATTACTGCAAAACATCCAAATGGTCTATAAGTATCACCACGTCAACCCATTTTTACACCATATTTAATGGTGAAGTGTCTGGCCGACCATTTAAAAATTAGCCTAAGATTGATATTTGCTGAAAACCAATAATCTCGCCAAGAACAAAGCTTATGTTACAAATTTTGTGCAACCAACACGAAGAAATCAAATGACGGTTCGTTTCAATATTTGTTTGGCAGATCGGACATAGAATCAAATGAAGATCCATACCCTTTTTATCAATGTTACTCCTTACAGGTAGTGTGTCGAACACGATTCCCCATGCTGAAATATTCAATTTAGTTGGGGGAGAAATTGGAACACTAGAGTGGCAATACCAAGAGCATGTCAAACTGAAGAAATAGAAAATAAACTTGTATTTCTCAATTCCTAAGTCCAACAATCAACATTGTCCATTTAGACAGCATCAATGAGAGTATTTGTCAATTCCGTAAATTCAATTTTCTCTCCATTCCTTAACTCTCTCACTCAACCCCACCTTCAATCGCAATCCATAAATCCCAAACCCACAATATAATCTTCTCCAAAACCAACAATAAACAATCTTGGAGATTGTCTACAGTGCATTGCTCTTCTATTTGTCTTTCTAAAAATCCGTACCCTCCCCATTCCTAACCTTCTTTTTCATACAGAAGTGTTGAAACAAGAAGTAAACTTCGCCAACCGATACTATAAGCCATGCAAGGCTACAAACACCTAAAGATTCACCTTGAATCGAGGACCTTTGTTGTTTTTTGACTTTATCTATGATTCGGTGAACCCCCACGCATTGCACATGAATGTAATTATCTATTTAAAATGATAACAATAAATTCGTTAAAATATCTATGTCATTGTCATTAACTATGAAATAACTATTTTTCTATACCAAATCAAAATGTTGATGTAAAACATTACCATTATATGGAACCATATGATAAAATAGATTAATTTTAATATTAAAGTTGAAATTTTATAAACAGTTAAAGTATAATTGAAATCCTAACTATCAACCATATTATATATAGAAAAACGATGGTACAAAACCCTAACTAATATTGAGTGCAACATAACTACTAAACCGACTATCAATAAAGGTCCATACTGTGGGAGGCTTCATTTTCATTTCAGGTTTTTACACTTTACTCGGGCGAGTCGACATCCATTCAAGTCTTCAATTCTCAAGTCATATTTTACGGTATCCATTACATCAGCTCCTCCAAGTTTTAACGATGACCCACCATGTGATATCACCGAATCAATAATCAGAGTTGAATTCATTCTATAGTTGATCAAATTATAATCACACATACAATCAATAATGGGCTTTTTAGATAAGCGATCAAAATGATTATTGAATGTTGATGCATGTCGTTTTCAAAAAATATCATTAATGGGCTATTTAGATGTATTAAATAATAAGTAAATGCAAGTGATATTTAGAATAAATTATAATGAATACAATAATGGAAGAAAAAAAAACCATAATTGCAAGGTTGAAGTATATGTCTATACCTTTTAATAAGTCACAATCTGATAATAGTTTTCCAAAAAACAATTTGAAAAATCAACATACTTAAATTGTCGGTTGAAACGTTAAAAAATTAAAGATACACAAAAAATAATAATAATAAACAAAAATAAAGGCCATAGGGTACAATACACACATGCTTTTGTAGACAGACTGCCAAAAAAAAAAAGGCTGACCTAGGTTTTCAAGGTACCTTCAATGGATAAGACAACCAAGAATGGTGGAGAATGGGATAGAATCATATTTTCCAACTTGTGATTCGAAATCCGAAATTTGAACCCGTGAGTCGACTTAGATATACATGCACGCATACACCTACAATGTAGAGGATTGTAACTTCTCAAGTAATTTTTTTTCTTCGTCTTATTTTCAAAAACCAACAACCTCATGTACATATGTAAACAATATATATATATATATATATATATATATATATATATATATATATATATATATATATGTGTGTGTTAACCGATTCAATATGAGAAGTATTGTAACATACATGTTCAGTTATCGTGTTTTATAATGAATAATATTATGAAATATTATATGAATTTGAATATTGAGTTCTAACAGATAGTTTTTACTTGAATTGAAGTAAAACTATGTTTAGAATCATTCCATTTTGTTTTGGAAGTCTTATGATATTCCAATCTAATGTCAAATATTGAAATTTAACGAAAATATAAAATTTGAAATAAGTAAAATTTTATTATTTAAAGTTGTAAATAATTTCTTTAGAAACATTTAGGCGAAAACCTCATCGAAATCCGAGTTATAACGAAGAAGTTATGACCAATCGACAGAACCGGCACGACGCCATATGACGTAAAAAGTGAGTTTTTGATAAACTACTTTTTACCTTTATGATCTAAATGAAAATCTTAATATTCATTAAACCGATAATTTTCATAAAAAGAACGTCCAAATCTGACTTCGTATGAGGAAGTTATGATTTTTCCAAGATTCGGTATAGCAGTAGACAGCTAAAAACTCGAAATAAAGATCGAGTGATTTTAGCAGACAAAACTTAAACGAGAATCGAAGATCTCGTTAATAATAGTACAACGGTAAAAGACAGACGAAAACGGATGTCAGATGAAGAAGTTATGAATTTTTAACGGACTTTTCCTGTCCCGGCCCGTTAAAAATATAACTTTAAGAATAAAGTCAAAATTAGCCGACGGAGTCTAAACGAAAGTTGTAGAGTATCATCTCACCTACGCGTGGATATAAAGAACGTCAAAAACGGAGCTCGTATGAAAAAGTTATGAATTATTGAAGTTTGAAAATTCGGAGTACGCCCCGTGTACAAGAGTACGCCCAGCATACTACAGACGAAGGACACATATCACGCAGGATCAACACGTCCGAGGCCCGGGAACCGAACCAGTGACACGAGTACGTCCAGCGTACCGAGCCGCAACGCGTACGCTCAGCGTATTGGGATTACCCCAAGCGTACAAGGGGTTTTCAGCCACTATAAATAGAAACCGAAGGCTTCCGAATTTGGTTTACAATTTCACTCTCTCTCACCCTTTTACTCTCTCTCAAACTCTCCTAACACCCTCCGCAGTCCCGGTATCATCCCTAATACCCGAAGCAAGTCTCGACGCTCCGAAAGCCAGAGAAAAATCATATTTTCTAGCCGAAACTCTGTCCGAGTAAGGCCGATTTTCAACTAAAATCCCCGGTTTCGTCACAGAAAGTCATATTTAGAGCCAAAGTGCTGCCAAAATTATCATTTAATCCCCGGTTATTTCACGGTGAGTTCAATATAGAGACAATTGTATGTTATGTATTATATGTTCAATGTGCTTTCCCATGTTATTATGATAATGAGCTATACCTTTGACCACGAAGTGTATGACATAAGAATCACTTGGGTACTGGTATGTAGCCTTTGGCCATGAAGTGTATGACATAAGCATCACTTTGGCATTAGCAGAATGTTAAGATATGGCTGAAAGCCTGTG